CAAGGTGGGGGCGCAGTTTTTAATGAAAATCGCACAGATAGGAGCGGTTTTCATGGGGTCGGACCAGTTTGGTCCAAAATCGCTGCCCCCTGCGGTTTGGTCAATTTTTTTCCGATCAATTTAAACCTAAGTGGAATCTTCAAACGAACATATCTTTGTGCACGGGTTACCGATCGTAGCAAAATTTTTTTTGATTCCGCATAACTTTTCGAGATCTTGCAAGGCATTTGCGGGATAAAAAAAACTACGTTCGGATACCCGAGCACAAAGGTACGTTCGTTTGAAGTTTCCACCTAGGTTAGAATTGATCGGGAATTTTTTTTACCAAACCGGTCCGACCCCAGGCAGTCATGAAAACCGCCCCCACCCTGCTGTTTTTGGGGAAAATGTGTTATTTTTGGAATTTTTCAGAGTAGGGTGCTATTTTTGTAAAAAAAATTAAACATTGCTATTTCTGAAAAAAATCCTACATGTAACTAATAAATTATTAATATTAATATAATAATAAACAATAATAAATGAAATAATCACACCAGCAATCATTTCCCCTAACAAGGATTATAATTTTCGGTAAGAAAAAGTGTATCATTTATCAAAGTATCTTACGAGGAAATCGGAAGGGTTTTGGTAAACATTTCAGAACGCGCCTAATTGCAGTTGCTTGGAGCAATCAATAAGATAAGATCGCATCCGATGGATTTTGCAGCAGCAGTTCTAAGCAGTTGCGGGATTCTTTCCTTTTTTGTGCTACATTTCATTCCGCTCCTCGTAGTTATAATAGGGTTGTCCATATTGTAGCAAACCAGTTCTTGAAGTGATGGTTTCAAACACTTGTCAATCATCGTATTTTCTTTTTTAAAATTCCTAATCCTGACTTTACTTGGCCTTGTATCTTTTGGTATCTATACGACTTCCTTTCGGAGATGACTATGGCAAAAAAAAGCAATGGCTTTCTCTGGGCTTCTGTTCTATTCGCTTCTGACTCGGCTACTTGCCCAGCCCCACAAATGGAAAAGATACAAAAAATCTTCAATCGTGTCGTGAGTGCACCTTAGTTCCAACTGTCTTCAATGCATCCCAGTACCAGGGACGTTGAAGGTTTTTTGAATGAATTACAATGTCTACAATCCAATTCCATTTTGGAGGTTATCAGACCAAACCAATTTGTCAGACTATTTTGCTCTTTACCCAACCGGTTTACTTTATTAGAAACCAACTGTTTGTATTATCTCACTTCAGATACAAACAATAATGATTTGTTGGTGTGGGCTTGACTCACGATCCGTTCGTCTGATTTCATCGGGAGGGAAGGAACCTGTGAAAGGCCGGGGATGCCCCCCGAATTAAGCTCCGATGATCAAGTAAGCATATACAATAGAGAGATGTGAGAGTATTTAGAGAGATGATATATATATGGCGAGTTCTACAGTACCCCGGGTGAAATCCGGGGTACCACATACCTTGAGTATGAAAACACTATCCAGACCTTGAAATGATTTATCTTTTGGACATGATACTATACTCTGACCCTTAAAGATCAAAATCTAGGTGTTAGTTCTCTAAATCTTATACCCCAAGATCAATTTAATTAGAAACAATAATCAACGGCTGTGATTCGTCCAAATATAGGCAAGAAAATGAATGCTCCATCTTAGGGTTTATAGATTATTATTTAGATAATTAGGACCTAGGGTTCAGTCATTAAGGGTTAGGGTATAGTATCAAGCCCAAAAATTATGCTAATTCGAAGTCTAGATAGTGTTTTCATACTCAAGGTATGCGGTACCCTGGATTTCACCCGGGGTACCGTAGAAGCCACTATATATATATATATAGAGAGAGAGAGAGAGAGAGAGAGAGAGAGAGAGAGAGAGCTAGAGTGTAAAGTCAGGGAGGAGAAGAGTCCCCTTTCTTGGAGGGCTTGAAAGCTCTTATATAAATGTAGTGGGCACAGGTAGTGTGGTAGGTTGCGCGACATGTAGTGCGGCAGGTTGGGCGTCACTGGTTGCACGCCAGGTTGGGAGTCATTATGCTAGTAGACCACAATGCTGGTGCGCTCCTACTTTGTCTCAGTTTGGCTCAGTAACACCCCCAACACCAACCTATAAAATTGGCAAAATTCATTTGTGTAGCCAAAACTTTAATGTTTGTGACAATAATAGCCACTTTTGGGGAAATACCAATAATAGGTAGAAATTTGAAAGTTTGATGGCAATAATAGTCATTTCCGTCTAAAACTTTAACGGTGTTACCGTGTTACAAAATTTTGTCTATTAGGTTAACGGTACGCTGGCGAGCATGCCAAATCATTGAAACGTTAGCGACAACTCAGCATTAATTGCCACGTAGATGCCATGTCACAATTTACTTCAAAATGTATTTTATATTTATTTTCATTTAGAAAAAAACAATTATCTTATTTTAATAATTATCTTTCTCTTTCCTCACTGCCTTCTTCGTCCATTGCCTTCTCCCTCTTCACAAACCAACCATCGTCGATTCTCTGATTCCCCCGCACTTCTTCACCAAACTTCTCCCCCGAACCCCCCGCACCCACCCATCTGGTCGTCGTTCCAGCCCATCTCTTCAATCACTCTAGTCGACTGGTCGGGCATCTCTGAGAGTCTGGGTTCCGCCTCAACCCTAGAATTTGGGGGAATAGGGTCATGATTGACGATTTCGACAGCGGCAACTAGGCAAACGACGAGACTCAAACAACAAAGTGTTCCATCTCAGATCCAGCTATGACTGATGACGACTGATTCTAATACGACGGCGGTGAGATCGAGAGATGAAGGGAGGCAGCGGCGGCGGCTGAATCCTTCTTCTCTATTTCACGCTACCAAGAGAGATTGGGGGCAGGGACGTAGCAGGCGGGAGTAATGGCGGACGGGAGCTACGTCGCGACGACAGAAGATGGGAGTTTTTCATTTAGAAGGCCGAAAGGTGTGGGAGTTTCAAAATGGTGGTGGTGGACTAGTGGTATCGACGACAGAAGATGGGTAGGGATTGATTGATGTCAATAATTAGGGGTTATGGAAGATTGATGGCATTTGGTTAATTGGGGGATTAATTGACCTGTTCTGGATTTTTCATTTAGAAGGGACGGATCACGGATGGATTGAGGGATTTGAGGCGGAAGGGGAAGGAAGAGAGATGGGACTTGGGAGAGATTTCCCTGGGAAGGGGAAGGAAGAAAGATGAGAGAGAGAGATGATTCTGCTGGGAAGGGGGAAATAAAAACCTTAATTTATATATTTTCTATCTCACATTTTAATTGAATAATAATTGTTGTCAACTCAGCCTCTTCGTTAGTCCAGTCAGCAATTTGGTTACACCGTCAAACAATTGGACGGAAGTACCTATTTTGGTATTTCGCCAAAAGTGACTATATTAAGTTGCAGAGTAGTCTCTTGTTAGTGAGTTTATTGGTTGGTTGTTTGCATGTCTTAACAAGTGTGTCAAAGCTATTCAAATATGTTGACTGTTCTGTTTGATGTTGTTGTTGTTCTTCTTCTTCTAATATAATTTTCTTTCTAGTTTCTCCAAAAAAAAAAAAATAGTTTTCTTTGTTGGCTATGGCTAACTGGTGCCTGAGGTTCCTGACAAGTGGGTTCAGTCAATTAGCAGACAGCGAATTCCAATATGAGAAAACACTTATTATGAGACCACTTTTTTTTGACAAGGTATTATGAGACCACTTGGTGTTGTTTGTTTGTGGTTTCCATTTTGTCCTCCAAGTCTAAGTGGGGACTCATGAGCCTGCCAGCAGAAGCCCATTAACCACCAATAATTTGTTAGTTATTCAGAAACAGAAAAAAAGAAAACGTTTCTTTCACCAAAAACCACAACCATGTCAATGGCTATAGTGATAATTGTTTTGGTGAATTTATGACTATATGATTTAGAAACACGATAAACATATGAACATAAACTGTGTTTGCAGCCCAACATTTAGGATAATTATCTTTCAAGCAATAAACTTGAATTCAACTCCCGACAGAATCCTGTCGTGCTTGAAAATTATACTGTCCCGAAATGGTTTTTTTTTTCTTTTTTTTCTGATTGCGTATTCATGGAAGGTAGAAGTACTCAACAACTAATGTTTCTTGGTCCTCTGGGTCAAATTAAGAAAAATTCCACTACCAACCCAGATTGATTTTTGACCATTTTGGCAAAGCAGTTTTGGGAAACCCAACCACATGTATCTGGTGCTATTACTTTCCTCCCCTTTGTTGGGTCAATTCGGGACATCAGCAATTACTGATGACATAAAAAAGAAACTCCATCCAATAGACTTACTTCACCCTCGTACATGGGATGGGAAGGAAGAAGAACATTCACCATTTACGGAGCTTCAGCTTCTAGATTCACTGCTCTCTCCTCAATTTCAAACACGTGCAGACCCTCTTTTATCTTGCCTTTTTCCTAATTGGCTCACTGCTCATTTTCCTCGATGTTACGACCACAGATGATCGCCAGAATTTTTTTTTATAATGGTGAAAATAAGATGATCGCCAGATTTGCTAGGCCATTTTGATAGAGGCATGCGAGAACTAACTATACTTTACTACATAGTGTTGCTCAATTAGTTGGGTTTGCGATCTTTGATCTACACTAATTTTTGTTCAAAAAATATTAGATTTCGTCGGATATGAATGTTTAGTGAGTGAAAATACTTGTTTCAATTCGATTTAGTGATCAAATGAAACAAAATTATTTGAATTTAAAAGTAAAATCATATAGAATATGCTCGAATTGGCTTTAAATATCATTGATCATAATTTTGCCGTTATGACAATATATCTTGTTGTTGCCAAAATTAATGCACCGATCAAACCCTTATTCGAAATATCATATGTACAATCAAAAAGTTCAAAACTGAAAGAGATCACTGCCAAAATGATTACAAAAGAGAGAAAGGAAATTCCAATGAAGAGTGATCTTGTATGCAATTGAATCCTTAACACAACAATATGTATGAAACTCGATATAAGGAATCAACAAGCTCTAAGCAAGCTATTCAAAAAACCCTCTCCTCCCCTGTCACGCGACTCCCCTGTTCCGCCTCCGCCAGACGTCTCCTCCGATTGCGACTCGACAGCGGCGCCGGAGCTATAACTCAGTTCCGGCTTCCCATCCTTGATGATGTTACCACCATCATTATTACTATTACTCCCAGCCGCCGTCGCCTCCGCCCTGGATATCTTCCCGGGATGATTCATCAGCCTATGTAGCGGCTCAGCCGCCGCAGCCAGCTCCGGCGGGAAATTGAGCACGGCCTTGGTCCCCCGCATCCGGAAAGCAGCTCGATCGTAGGCCAGCGCAGCTTCTTCGGCTGTATCGAACGTGCCGAGCCACACCCTGGCGCCATGGCGGGACGAGTCGCGGATCTCAGCGGCGTATTTCCCCCATGGGCGGCGCCGGACCCCTCTGTAGTGGCGCTTGGATATAACCCGACTGTTGCCGGAAGTGTGGAGATGGTGAAGGAGCGGGTTGGAATTCGGTTGGTGGGTCGGATACGAATTGCTGCTGGCTTCACTCATCATCTGGTATATCACCATGTCCTGTGAATCGTTCTCGCTGAAAGGCAGCTCGTTCTGCTGCGCCATGGCTGAATGATAAAATACAGAGGACTTTTGTTATTGTGGGGAAGGAAAGCCGACGAATTTTGGTATTTAAGCGCTCGTGTTGAGTTTACTAGAGCAAAAGGGGATTATGGGATTGGGAATTTTTCGTTGAATGATTGATTTGTTTTATGGGACTTTATGATTGTTTTGGGTTGAGGGAAGGAAGGAGGAAATTCAGGGAAAACAGGGGAGAGGAGAACAAAGGGGTTTTGGTTTCTTTCTTATAGTGGTTCTTTCTTCTTACTATTAGGGTTGGTGGGTTCTGGCCAGTCTTATTTTTACAGAAACCTATGGAACTTTTTGACTCACTAGTAAAGCCACCATTGGAGTTGATTTTATACAATGGGATGAGGGGTGTACGTTGTATTGCTAACATACTGCTGTATATGCTAGAATTCAAGTCAGGTTATGTTTTGAAATTTTCTTCCATATTATTACTTTCCATGTCTGATTGATAGAATTTGGGGAATAACATTATAACTAAGAAAGGGTTTCCCATATTTCGGTTTTGTGATAGAAAACTTGTCTAAAGGTAGTCACGGGCTCGGCTCATTGTCCGGTTTTATTTTGCTATGTAATAAATAAGGATAGCAACTATTTTAATTCTCGGTGGTAAGAGGTTTCCCATCTTTTGTTCGATTCTTTCCTATTCCCCCGAGCTTCGCAAAGGGATGCTTCTTTCCTTCTCCAGGTTCTGCAAGATTATGAAAGTATCAGTGGTCAGAGAGTTAATCTCCAAAAATCTGCTGTGTACTGCAGTCCTAATATGCTACAGTCAGAACAGGAAGAGTTGGGTTCTTTTCTTGGAGTTGGGTCTATACTTAGGTTTGCCCTCTCTTTTAGGGAGATCGAAGATGGAGACTTTCGTTTTGTGGAAGAAAATTGTTGTCTGTTCTTCAAGGTTGGAAACAGCGAAGTCTGTCTACTGCCGCCAAGAGGTTCTCATCGAATCTGTAGCAGCTGCCCTACCTATTTATATAATGTCATGTTTCCGGCTACCAACAGAGTTGATACGGCAACTGAATGCTCACTTGGCTCATTTTTTGTGGGAAGCAACTCAGAAACAAAGGCGGATTCATTGGCGATCTTGGAAACTCCTATGCTCGAGTAAGCAAGCTGGTGGTTTGGGATTTAGTGAGTTTGGTCAGTTCAACCAAGCCCTTCTAGCTAAGGTTGCTTGGCGTGTTCTTTCGGATCCCACTTCTCTTTTGGCTCGCATCTATATGGATCGTTACTTCAGTCGTCACCGATTCTTGAAGCATCTCTGGTTCCAATCCATCGTGGGGCCGGCGAAGTGTTATGTTTGGTAGAGACTTGCTTGCTCAGGGACTTCGTTAGCAGGTTGGTGATGGCTTCATTATTCGAGCTCTATTGGATCCATGGCTACCTACCACTCCCCCATCCACTCCAAAACCCAGACCAGGTGCTCTTGCTGCTTTTCCCTTCGTTTCTGCTTTTATTGATCCAGGAATCAAGCTTTGGAATGCAAGCATGCTCAATTTATATTTTGATGAAGCTACTGTCCGTTTGATACAAGGGATTCCTCTCCCACAGCAACGGCTCAGAGATAAGCTGATCTGGCATTTTGAATCCTCTGGATTTTTTCCAGTTAAATCTGCATATCTAATACCTATCTTCATTGCAGCTTGTTTCTACCACTAATAAACATAAAGTTTTATTAATGGATCGGATGTTATGGCAATGAGTTTGGAATAGGAAAGTGCCACCTAAGTTGATTTTCTTTTTTGTGGCAAGGATTACATCATATTCTTCCAACTAAAGAGGCATTGACGATTCGAGATATGGATTTAATACCCATTTGCTCGGTTTGTGGTAGAAAAGATGAAACAGTTGAACACTTGTTCTTCTCCTGTTTGGTTGCTAGAAAATTCTGGAGATTGATTGGTATGCAGGGATTTTGGAGGCAGGCTGAGAAGCGAACATTTCAGGGTTTCATTCGGTACACTCTCAGTAAGGTTCATGGTCCGGATGAGGATTTTTTGATTCTGCAGGTGGTTTGCTTGCTTTGGCGGTTGTGGAAGAATAGGTGTTCGGTGGTGTTCCAAGCAAAGCAACTCTAGCTGAATGTTTTAGCGAACTAATGGTTACATCAGGTTAAGGAAGTGGAATAAGCTTTACTTCTTCCTAACAATGTCTCTCGTACATAACTTCTGTTACCATTCTATTGCAGGCTTTTCGTGCTAGTCAGGGTATCTGGGCGGAGAAACAATGGTTATCTATGTTACTGAGGAGGTAGTGCATCTATGTTACTGTTATCACAATAAACAATGGTTATTAATTCTATTAGGGCTAAGAAACGGTGCGGTCTGGTCCAGACCATATCAACGGTCTATGGTCCAGACTGAGAGGCTGAAGTATAGACCACAGACCAGACCACAGACTATATGGTCCGGTCCAGACCGCGCCTGTGCGGTCTGATCCAGATAGACCACACTTAACAAAAAATGAACAATTTCTTTAGTCAACCCCACAAAAAATTGAACCAATAATCAAGAAAAATAATTTTTATTTTCCTTAAAACATTAATCCTATCATGCATGAACAAATTTGATACCCAAAATCTTAGTACATAACAAAGATATCAAGTAAAAGCATCACAACTTGCACCATAACGTTATAAACATTAACATAATGTCATATGGAGACACGATTATCTCTACTCTCTGGTTAAGTGTGGTTCTGAATGAAGGAGGGGCGAGATTCACAAAATTAAGGTTGAGACTTGTGTATCGTTGTGGGAGTTGGGAGAGTGGTCGAATGGGCTGTTAACACGTATTGACAAGTCGGTTGGGTCCACGTTTTGGTTCGGTAAACCGCGGTCTAAACCAGACTAGACCAAGAGATCAAAACATGAAATAATACAAACCATTGACCAGACCAGACGATACTTAATGATCTACGGTCCGGACCAAACTGTGCTGTACAATTTCGACCACGATTTTCTAACGATCTGGTCTATTTTCCCAGCCCTAAATCCTATGTATTTTGTCAAACTGTAAACGTATAAGGGATAATCAAAGACATTGATTACGTTGAGATGAATTTCACTTTGGCCTAATGTGAGTGACTCTGGAAATGTTTTTAATCACATTATTTATCGTGAGACAAAGTATAGTAATTCTAATATAAAAGTTTTCTTTGGTGAAATTAAACGTGTAACCTGGCATGATTGTAATATCTTTGCATGTTGGGAGACCAATTTATTTGCAATTGCCATGTAATCTCCCAAATCGACTTACGTGCTCAGAAGGTTTTAGTTCAAGTGCCTTGGTAATCATTTTTCAGTAAGCTTAATAGATGTCAATAAACCTGAATACTGAATTCGATGGCCAACAACATTTTCTTAAATAGATAATTGAAAATTAAAGATTTTGGTTATATGCATCCAATTGAAGTAAATTGAATTATTTATCGTTAGACAAAGTATAGTAACTCCAATCTGAAAGAGTTTTTCATCGATGAAATTAAACATGTAACCTGGTAGGGTTGGAATATCGTTACATGCTGGGAGACCAATTTATTTGCAATTGCCTTGTAATCTCCCAAATCGCTCATCTTGAAGTTATGGATGATATAAAATTTGCAATCATGAAACATAGGTTGAAATTCCACAAATTTTCCTTTGAAAATTCCCACCCAAATTTCATTACCTTGAGAATAAAGTAAAATTAGTAATATTTAAAAGATTGTAAGTTTACTATTGATTCAACGAATATCATTTCGACACGAAGAATAGTATCTAATTTGGGATTGATTGCCAGCCACTTCATGGAAACACAACACTCTAATTTTATTTCATAATGAATATCACTCGAGCTCATAAAATATGTAATAAACACAATCTTAATGTAGAAAGTATTTAATTTGAAAAAGAAAACATATATTAACTCTTTCTAAATAAGGATCTTAACATATGTAGCCATAACTATTATCTTCATTGTAAAAATTGGAAACCAAATTTATAAGTTAAATTGTAAGATTCTAACACTGAATTGCAATTTAATCATCCAATAATCTCCTTGAAAAAAATCATCCCATAATGATGAATACGTGAATTAAAAAGCTGAATCTCTACTTGAATAGAGAAAAAGAATATCTAGTCTCTACTACCCATATGTATTACTATTAACTTGCCAATCTAAGCGTTTTCAACCGGAATATGCTTTGAGTTTTATATCTTCGAATTCGGCCCATATACATAGGTTATAGAAAAAGAGACCCAAAAAGCATTCATGAATTAAAAAAGAAGAAGCAAAAAGACCACGGAGTCCTTCCGTACTCCACGCAGGAGACAAGAAAAAAAGTAAATACAGGCTAAATTACACGTTTGGTCACTCAAATTATACAAATCTTTCATGTTTGCCACTCGAATTATTTTTCTTTCTTATTCGCCACTAACTTTACGGGTCGTTTCACCGTTAGTCACCCGCTGTTACACTCCGTTAACTTTGTCCTATGTGGCAGTCAACTATAAAGTTTGACCGTTAACTAGATGGCGTTGAAATTAAAATGAATTAAAAAATTATTTTTCCACATCATTCCACTTGCTTTGTCTATATGCTATTATGCTTTATCATATTTATTATTTAATTAATTCTAATTATTAGCGAGAGAATTCCTCCTTCTTGAGACCTTGACAACCCAGGTGAAGCTTTGCTCCGACGCCTCCAGAGCACCAGCTATCTCCATCCTCCTCCTCTCCCTTCTCTGCCCTTCTTTGTTTAGTGTATAAGCTTCGGAAAAAAAACATGGGCATGGGCTCGAATTCCAAGAGATCAAGCGGGCCAGTGCTCCGGTCGCTGTCTCCCCGCGGTCGATCCTGTCGTACAACTCCGCCGGTCATCTCTCATCTTCCTCGTCCTCATCGGCGTTCGTGTCTTCCAAGAGCTCGAGCTTTTACTCTCCGCCGTCGGCCTTCTTCCGCACCACGCTCCACCACCCAGATCCGCCTTTCCGACGCGCGTCAATCTACATCTCCCAATCGCAACATATCCGTCGCGACGAGCCACCAATCACATCTCCAGCCTCCCCGCGAGGAAGACGTGTATGTGCTCTCCGACCTCGCATCCCGGATCGTATCGCTGCAGTCTCCACAAGAACAACCACCAGAACGGCGACGCGGGAGAGAGCTCGTTCATGCCGAACAGGCTGAACATGAGGAGATCAGCGATGACGAATTCGCTGGTGAGGATCGGCAGCGTGGAAGGAGACTGGGTGAAGAGAGCGTTGTCGGCTTTGATTCGACCGTCGTCGCGGGAAGGGTTCAGAATCGGATTCCACGCCTTTGTAAGGCTCGTGGAGTTTGAGGGCATTAATACACAGAGAACGACCCTGATCTGTTGAAGAAGAGCCTCGGAAGCAGAGTTTGTCGACTTTGTTTGTAGCCCAGGAGAAGATCATCGGCAATGATGCAATCTGGCTGCCACTACCAGAGGAGATCCTCGACGGGTTGCTGGAAGACGACCATGAACTTGAAGAACGGGACAATGAGGTCCGGGTACTTGATGGCATTGACGCAACCTTCCGTCGGCACATGGAATTCGATGATGTGGGTTTGGATTTAAAGACCCAATTGAGCATTTTGGTGAATCTTGTTGGAGAAGAGAGGGTCGGGCGTTCACGGGAGTGGTGATGATCGTCGATTTGACACCGTGGCGGGCGAACAGCCTCGCCATGAATGCCCTTTGGATCCTAATTCCTATGGCCTTGAGCCATGAAACTATGAAAGGGAGGAAGACAAAGTGGAGGAAGAGGCTGATAATTAATTTTTATTAAATAATTAAAAAGATAAAACAAAGTAAGTGGAAAACATTTATTTTATTTTCCACGTCATCTAGTTAATGGTCAAACTTATTTTTGACTGCCACGTAGGACAAATTTAACGGAGTGTAACAGCGGGTGGACTAATTGTGAAACGATTCATAAAGTTAGTGGCGAATAAGAAAGAAAAGTAATTCGGGTGGCAAACATGAAATATTTTTATAATTTGAGTGACCAAACGTGTAATTTAGCCAGTAAATACAATATAATAGCCACAATTATTAATAACCGGAAAATTATAGCCACAACTATGAAAATGCAAATTATTAGCCATAATTATTATTGTGCGTAAACGAATGGCTAACAGTCCGTTACTAACTTTCTAACGGACAAACTCTCTCCACTTCCCCCGACTCTCCTCTCGCCGACACCAAAGGCCCCATCACTCACGTGATCTTCAACATGGACGGCCTCTTGCTGGGTAATTTCATCGGTCACTACTTCCATATGTAAAAGGTGTTTTGCCCTTTTAAAAGGCGGCTCTACCGACCTCTAATAGCCTGCTCTTGGCTGAAAACGGTGATATTGCCGGAAAACTCCCCTGGTTGGAGAAGGAAGAGGCAATTGAATGCCATCGATTAGACCGCCTAGCCCCACTTTTCACGCCTCCGTCGCTGAACATTTCGCGGTTGCAGCAGATGTTGCCGCTGGTGTTTTAGTTGCGTGCGGGTGGATTACCTGCTGGGGCCGTTCACCCTTCACCAAGGAGTTTTTGCGAATAGATTGTCGAGCTCGCCGTCTTGCGGGAACCAGTTGGGCAAGGTAGTCGAGAAGAAACTTATTTTTGTTCAACTTGGTGTTCGAGGCCAGCAGCTTTCTTTGTTGTGCTGTTGAGGACTTGGTTTGGTACTGTGGTCAAGAAGTGTTAGGTTCCAGCAGACCATTTTATGGTGAAAGTCACAGAGGAGCTTATATCCTCCACCTGGATCTTTGCCTTTGCGACACTCCCTTCACCGCTTTCAAGGCTCGTCGCCGGCAAGGTTTTCCGATGAATGTAGCGTCAGTTCCCATTGAAACGTCACAAATAATGACATTTATGTCATTAAAGTGATCTACTTATTATGTTTTATGACGCAAGAGATTTTAATGCCTCGTTAATTAGTTTTGGAATAAGTGTTATTATTTATTAACAAGTTATTTACTAACCTTTCAATTGATCTAATTAATCTCTCCTAATTACCACTGGAATCACGATGATGAATATTGGGAGCATCCTTGGGCATTCTAAAATTCTGGGTTGTTAGCCCGTTACAATTCTTTTGGAGTATGTTTTTTGGCAGTTACAAACGATCCTATTAATAGCTCATACGTTTTATTGAATATGTTTATGAAAGATTTAATTCTCCCCAAGACATGCAAATATGTTTTTTGAAATTATTATATAAATTAATGGTAGGAGTAATTCTCCTCACATTTGGTTTCTTATTTCTTTAGAAATAGTCAAATAGAGCTATCACCTGGCTCATGAATCAGCTTTGGCCTCAAATCGAAAACGGATAGTCGAGAAAGCATTGAACATTTATTCTTTAGATGACCCCTAGCCACCAGATTGTGGACTTTAGTGGGATTGAGCAACTTTATTGAGACCGCCCCGACTGTTAACTTTAGTCTATGGTGGCGACTTGTCATGGCCTCTGAGACCTCCCCATTCCACATTCTCCAATGCGTCTGCTTACTTGGGAGAATCTGGAAGTCTAGAAATAAAGTGATTTTTGAATTCTACCAACCTCATGTCCGTTCACTAGCCAGACAATTCTACAACCAGGTCCTTGATATCTCAAACACTCTCCTCCCTCCCCAACCCCACAACTCTCTTCTCCCAAACCATCCAACCACCACTTGGGTCCCGCCACCAGACGATTACTTGAAGATCAATTTCGACGTTACTGTTTGTGCCACCGGGTGTTCGTTTGGTCTTGTTGTCCTAGGGTCAGACGGACATGTGGTGTTGGCGTTCGGGTTACAACATCAAGTAATAGTCAACCCTTCCCTGGCAGAGCTCGTAGAGATTAGAGATGTTATTTCCATCATTACCTGAAGATCTTTGACTCACGTGATAGTCAAAGGGGATTCCGAAGTGGTCGTCAAGCAGATCCAGCAAGGCATCATAGAAGACTTGATTGGTGGTCCGGTGTTGCGAGAGTGTTGTCAGATCCTTAGCTCTTTGTCCATTTTTATAGAGTTTAGGGCAGTTCCTAGAATTGCCAACAGTGCTGCCCATAGAGTGGCGCGTAAAACACTGCTTTTGTCTCGTCTAGAGCTAGAATCTTTCGATTTTTTGGGGTGGCTTCATTTGATTATTTTGTAAGGGGTCCTGGGTAGATTTGTATGAATAACTCTTGTCTTCTATTGATATCACTCAGAAATAAAAAAAACTTTCTAACAGACAAGGCCACATCAGTGGCCACGTCACCTTCCACATCATATTAATTTTTATTTATAAATTTTAAACATAAGAAAACAAAAAAAAAACCCCCAAATGTAGGGTCAACCCTGCTATCCCCTTACTGTTCAACACCATCCTAGTCCCTACCGATGTCCCCAACGAACGCCTCAACCTCTCCGCACTCCTCAAATCCGACCTCCCCACCACCATCCTCACTTCCCAACAAACCAACCACGATGAAGGGGATAACAACACCGATATAACTTGTTACAACAGCAACACCAGCAGCAGCGAAACTCCCACCACCGACCACGCTTCTTCTCCATACTCTGCCGATGCCTAATTGAGCCGAGCGAGCCGAGACCTTCCTCCTCTTCTTCGTCCCTGTCATCGGAATCATGGAGGAATTTCCCAGATCCAGTCATCACCAGGCCCAATCGACTGCGGTTGGAGATTTCCCATATCCATGCCCGAACTCGACATCTTCTCCTGTCTTCATTCGCCAGATCCAGGTAGGTGCAAATCCACCATTCTCCTGCTCACCTACAGATCGTGGCATGCTCATCCCCGTCAATCAAGCAAGCAATAGAAAAGAAAAGGTTGAACTTGTCCAAAATTCAAGATCCACAATCAGAAGCTTGAAGATTGGTGTGGAGCCTGCGTCAATTGGAATTAGTGACGCCTCCGGTTAAGCAGCAGCGATGTAGAGGGGAAATCAACAACATTTGGGGTCGGCTTAAGGTAAGCAGAGAGCTTCTTGGTCCGCCGACCATGTTGACGAGAGGCGAGTCCAAAGGAGAGGAAGAAATAGAGGAGTAACGACGACGAGGGCGAGGGAAATAGAGAGAATTGGAGAAGTAGACGACTACGAGAGCGAGGAATCTGAGAGAATCGATGTCAATTTTGAGGCTAGGGTTTCGATTGAGAGTCGTCGTCATCGTGGTGGTGGTGGGCTAGGGTTTCGATAGAGATTAGAGAGTGGGCAAAGATGGTGGAGGTCGATGAGAGCTAGGGAGGAATCAGGGGTTGAGGGGTTTTCCATTCTTTTATGTTTTAGCTCTCTTGATTATTTGGTGCCACATGGGAAGCCAACTCAGTATCGTTGATGCTTAGTCAGCACGGCTAACAGAAATATCAACTAAAACTTAACAGTTGGCTAATAATTTGTATTTCGATAGTTGTGGCTATAGATCCCCGCTGCTTGAAGTTATGGCTAATATATTGTATTTATAAAAAAAAAAGAGATGGAGTGGGTTTTCGAGGAGAACCTCCATATAATACCTGCTTACACTTTGTATATCTAGATTATGACTTTATGGTAATGGAAAATACAAAAAATAATAATTTTAATTGATTTTTTCTTCCTAAATTATCCTTCATAAAATCACTCTTGTATCCCAATTTCGAAAAGATGATAAAAGTAATTTTAGAATTCCATATACTGTGAAGATAAGCATATACATATTTTCCATGTGAGTTCCATCGGTTTGTTATAGCTAGTGGGGGGATCCAGAAATAGCACTATTTAAAAAATTTACAAAAATGGTACATAAACCACAAAAAATCCAAAATTACTCAAAAATCGCACGACAAAGGTGCGGTTTATGAAGAAACCGCGTTGGGAAGCAACGGTTTTTGCAAGGGCGGCTAGGGAACCGCTTAGGGAAGCCGCGATTTTTGGAACCGTTGGATCAGGGAGCGATCCAACGGCGGACCGCGCACTAACGCATCAATCCACGTCAGGGATCGTGAACCGCAACGGGATGGGGCGGTTTCTGCCCCTACAAGGGACGATCCGAATCCTATATAAACCCCCTCCCCCTCTCCATCTTTTTAACACCAAAATTGATATGATCATACCTAGATCAATCTACAAGCCAGAATGGATTGGATTAACAACAATCTCAAGCTATGTGAAGAAACCCAAAATCTGTCTAAGTGTTTTACTTATCTCAGGTACCCTACTTAGCACTCGAGTTTCTTCCAATTGGTGTTATGGAAACAGGCAAATGGGGCCTTGTTTTGAAGCTGAGAAGTTGCCATACTAGATAGAGTGTTTAGGAGCTCGAGAGGAATCCAGGAGGGTCGAGTTTGAAGCTTCTTAAAACCCCAAGTAAAAACCGGAATTCTGCCTAAAATTGTATAAGGCATGGAGCGTGTTCATCAAGGAGACTTTATAGGCATATTCGAAGCACCTGGAAGAGAGACGAGTATGGGGGATTGCACCACATGAAAATACAGGTTATTTGCTACAACAATGTGGAATTGGTTGATAAAAAACCTCCCTTGAAGTCTTCCAACGAAAGCTTGCAAGATCGTATGGAGTCTGGCCGAACTGTCTTGCAACCCAGCAATCCGAGTCCTTTACGGATTAGGATTTCTTTTAAAGCCTGTTTGATTTGAGTTTGTTTTCCGAGTTTGTTTATGCTTTGGACTTCGTAGTAGTTTGTTTAGTTTTCCTAGCTCTATTTAAAGCCTTCAAGTGTGTTAATAACGTCAAAGTTGATTAATTGGATTGACAATTAAG